TGTGGGTTAAACCACAGAGCCTAGGGCTTGCCAATCAGAAGGTTGGCGGTTCGAATCCCCGCGACGGGGTGAGCTCCTGTTGCTTGGTCCCAGCTCCTGCCAACCTAGCAGTTCGTAAGCACGTCAAGTGCAAGTAGATAAATAGGTACCGCTCCGGCGGGAAGGTAAACAGTGTTTCTGTGCGCTGCTCTGGTTCACCAGAAGCGGCTTAGTCATGCTGGCCACATGACCCGGAAGCTGTACGCTGGCTCCCTCGGCCTATAGAGTGAGATGAGCACCGCAACCCCAGAGTCGGTCACGACTGGACCTAATGGTCAGGGGTCCCTTTACCTTTACCTTTAATACAGGGATCACAGCTAAAGAACCCCTTGACAGATGTCCACCCAACCCCTCTTAAAAAAATATCCAATAGAGAGTCCACCACTGAGGTAGCTCTTGTCACCCAAACGTTCTTCTAATGCTTAGCCAGAATCTCATTTCTTGTAATTTGAAACTGTAGGTTTGGGTCCTGCCCTCTGGAGCAGCAGAAAACAAGCTTGCTCCATCTTCCATGAGACAGCCCTTCAGATATTTGAATACGGCTAGCATATTACCTGTCAGTCTTCCCTATATGTATGTTTGTGTGTGCGCGCAAATCTAGCGACTGCTGCTCAGAAAGACAAAGCCAGAGAGATACATGTGACAGGGCTGATAGAAGAAGACGAAATGAAATGCAGCCCTCGTGGCCTGCCTTTTGTAAAAAGGCAATGCTGTGAGAGATGCCCAGCTGCTGCACAGGGAAATTCTTCAGAGAACGATTCCCATTAGGACTAATTGGTTTGTCAGTGTCCTCCTCATTACCATTCCCCCCTCCCTCCGCAGTTTCGATTTCCTAAGGTTTGAGAACAAAAAGCTCTTGTTCTTGAAGCACATTTGTGGAAGCAAAGGGTGGGGGGAGCCAGAAATCTGTAGGCCCCTGAGGAGAAGTCCCATCGACTCAGTGGAAGTTCCTTTGTAAGTTACACATAGGAACCGTCAACGTATATCTGAATCTATCTGTTTCTGTTTCCCCCTCAGAAGTGGCATAGCACCATTTACACATTGGCGGCGAGGAACTGTGTTTTCTTTGAAACACAGTTGAGCTGCTGCCAGCCTGTGTTGACAATGCTGAACTAGCTGGACCAAAGGCCTGACTCAGTACGAGGCAGGTTCTTACCAGAGGAAGCATTGTTCAGCATGCAGAAGGTTCAAAGTTCAACCCCCAGAATCTCCAGGTAGGACTGGGAGAGAACCCTCCCTAAAACCCTGGAGATGTGCTGCCTGTCAGTGTAGACACTACTAAGCTAGCTGGACCAAAGGTCTGACTTAACATGAGGCAGCTTCCCATGAAGGGCCAAATTTTAGCCACCCACAATGGGTACAACTCTAAGTACCCCATTTGGTTTTCAGGCAAATGACAAGGGAGCCACCTTGATGTCCCAGTCCTGGATCATTTGGATGGCATACCAAGGTTTCTTCCTGTCTTTGGGTCATGAACATCTTTCCCCCCTTCCCAGAACCATCAGTTTAGACCCTGAAAGAGAAGGGCAGGTGAGTCAGGAGAAGGAGTAAGTAGCACAAGTAAGAGAACATACCCTCCAACATTCCTCCAAGGAAAATAGGAACATCCTATTCAATAATAATAATAATAATAATAATAATAATAATAATAATAATAAAATTATACCCTGCCCATCTGACTGGGTTGCCCCAGCCACACTGGCTGGCTTCCAACATCTATAAAAACATAATAAAGCATTGATCTTCCCCATTGATCTTCAGATGTCTTCTAAAGGTTGTATCATTGCTTATCTCCTTGGCTTGCGGGTCGCATAACTCCCTGCTCTCCAACATTTCTCCGGTGAAAATACAGATGTCCTAAGGAAAAGCGGGACATTCCAGGATCAAATCAGAAACAGGGATGGCTTCTCTAAATCCGGGACTGTCCCAGGAAAGTAGAGACACTTGGAGGGTCTGAAAGCAGGGACAGAGCAAGGGGGTGCGGTGGGGGCAGATCACCCTGGGTGCCCTCACTGAGGGGGGTGACATTTGGCGTGCCGCCCGCCCGCGACTCCCCAGCCTACCCCGAGCCGTCAGGGGAAGGGGGGAGCTGCGCCGCTTTGCTGGCAGTATTCCCCCTTCCTCCTTCGTTTTGACAGCTGGGGGAGACTTGGGAGTTGCGGGCGGGCGGCGGGCTGAATATCCGCCATTGGCGGCTTGCTCTGCCCCCAGCTGCAGTGTGTGTGTGTGCCGCTCTGTGCACCCAAGCAGCTATCCCGTGCCTGGGAGGGCACCCTCTGCGCCCCTCCCCCCTCGGGAGTGTGCCCACCATGGGCAGTGCGGGCATATGCTCCACCACTGTTCTAAAACTCATCCTGCCTCCAGTAACCAGGGAGCTCCACTAGTCAAAGCCCTTCCATTCCACAGGAAAGAATTGCAGGCTGCAGGAAAACCTCTCTCTCTCTCTCTCTCTCTCTCTCTCTCTCTCTCTCTCTCTCAGCTTTCTTCATACGAAAGGCAGTTTCAATGAGATTTTTTTTTTCTTTTTTAAAACATTTGGAAAGCCAGCACTCCACTGATAATGGAGATCCTAAAATTACTTTTTAATGGTAATGTGAGAAAATCATTGCTTTTAACGATTCCAAACCCTTCCACTATTTTTACTTATTCAAGGCAGTACGGAGATTTTATAAAGAGTAATGTATAATTTAAGCTGGAGGTGAAGGAAAAAAAATAGAATTGGAGCCAGAATTTGTACGATGGCAAAACAGGGAAAGTATGATGGGGAGTGGAGGGGGAAGCCCTGAAGGCTTAGTATAGAATTAGAATTTTACAGCATCATGTGGCTGCCAGGATTCACCTCATCGGAGGCATATTAGCCAGAATTCAAAGGGATTCAAAGCATTCCAATGGATCAAAGAGATTCTGAGAATCCCATGGCTATATTTTTTAGTGCTTCCATTCAGCTAACAGCTGCTCTAGCCCTGTGATTATACCGCAGCCCTGGCCATGTAGCTGCCCATCAGAATCCACCTGCTCATATTCATCACAGAATGGCTGCCGTATCAAGTATGCATATCTGAATGAGTCACCATCACAGATCAAAACCAGAGAATCTCTAGGCCTGGGAAATCTGTGGACTCTGAGTCCAGGCACACAACACAGCCAGCACTAAACGAAGAAAGTGACGTCTGTTTACTTCCTTGGTTCCAGAAGCCCTGAAGCTCCCAATGTGTTGTTGCTTCAGCAGCGAAGCAGTTCAGACTGAGAGCATCCTCAGGAGTTAAGAATGCAAGAAGAGCCAATGGCACATCTGGTCTAGCCTGTCCCCACAGTGGCCAACCAGGTACCTGCAGGAAACATGCAAACAGGATTCATGCACAAGAGCCGTCTCTCCTCCTGCAGTTTCTAGCAACTGGTATTCAGGACCACTGCTGCTTCCAACTGTGGAAACAGAGCATAGTCATCATGGCCAATAGACATCAGCAGCCCTCTCCTCCATTTATCTGTCTAATCCTCTTTTATTTTTTATTTTTTTTTAAATAATATTTATTAATAGTTTCAGAATTATAGAAAAAAGGAAAAAAAATAGAAAACAACTCTACAATGCATAAAAAAAGAAAAAACGCAAAAACCAATACAACAATGCAGCAAAAAGAAAAAAGGAAGAAGAAAAAAAAACACAAATCCCAAATTACATATCTTTAACTTCCATTTGCTTGTTTCATTGACCTCCTCACACCTCCCTTTTTGTATTCTAATTTAGTTAGTTATTTCAGCAAATTATTTCCATCTTTCTCAATTTTTGTTAAAAATTTATCTTAACAATTTAACCTAATAATTAGCTCAACACATCCTTTCCATCTTTCCCCATATTCTGTTATTCAAATTACCTTAATTTATTTAACCTTATCTTACCATAAAATACCTTAAAGCTTAAATCTTAATTCTCAAATATACATAGCTCCTGATAACATTTCTGCTAGAGTCATATAGTTTCATTCCAACATTTTCCCTAATATTCATTGATTTTAAGCTAATCCCCTAAATAAAAAATTTTCTTTATAAATTTTCTTCCCATCTTCATCCAACGTCTCTTCTTCCTGGTCTCGGGTCGTGTCAGACCTTACTGTCCATTCCATCTAGTCCATCAACTTGGAAGTCTTATGTCCGAGGCCCTTAAGTCTCTTCCATGTCCCTTCTGCAAATTTTCTTCTTCTTGTTTATATTTGCCCTTTTCCTTGTCTTTTGTTGGTCTCTTTCTTAATTTCTTTCCTTTCTCATTGAGGAGTGGGTCTCTGGGGGGTTCCAACCCCAAATTGTCCCCATCTCCCTTCATCAAACCTGCCCATTCCCCACAGTCCCACTCCCCACAGTCATCGATGTAATCCAAAAAGTATCTAAAAGCATATTTCAAGGTCTCTCCACAGTTAGGAACCTTCTCAGCTCCAAACTCCCCCTGGCCCGCTCCAACTTCAATCTTCAATGACAGCGGCTTATGCTCCTGTAGGGCCTCGGGTCTCTCCATTTGTATTATTTGAGGTGCATCCACATCCTCCTCCGTTATCTTCTGCACTTGCCCAGTCAGTACAGGATCATGAGTTGGTCCCTGAATGGTTTCTGTCTCAATGTTCCCTGTTTGTCCACAGTTATTAACCTCAACAGTCATCAAGTCCATTTTCTCATTCATCAAATCCATCTTCTCATGCATCTGTTCCAGCAAGGCACTTGTCTTGCATAAAGCAAGCACCCAATCTTCCTCCCAGCTCATCTTTAGTCAAGGTCAGAAAAGACTGATCCCACAATCTTAATCTTACAGCTGTTGAGTCCTCAAGTATTCTGCAGCAACAATTTAACAAGCTCCCTCTAGAGGAGACAATTTCTATTTGTATCCATTTTTTTTTATAAGGCAAGTCCAACAAAGGAAAATTACTTTCATTTTTCAAATATTTTTCAGATATTTTGTTTCTTTAGAATGCAAAAGTTTATTTCTCTTCTTTAGCTATCTGTCAAAGTATTCCATTCGCAGTCAATGAACCTCTCCGACTATTTCTGTCTCTGACACCCCGTTCCCAGGTTAGAGACAGTGGAAACTTATCCTTCTTCACTCCCTCTCCTGCAGGGGTTAAACAAAGTCCCCCCCCCTTTTCTCCTGCTTCCAAGGGGGTTTCGGTAATTCTAAATGAAGGAAATTTAGACTTTTTTAATGGCTTTCCAGGCTTTAGCTTACAAAGTTTTTGCTTTAGTCTATATACAAAAAGCGGAAGGCGGACTTCCTGTTTTGAACCTTCCCACTTCGATGCCAAATTAAGATATTTCTTGATCCAATTTTCCGTTTCTACTCACGGGTACTTGATTTAAATCCAATTGTCCACAGGAAAAAGTCAGCGCTCTCCGGCAATGGCTGTGCGGCTTCACTCCGTGAAAATAGCAATCAGTTCGCAGCACCGCGCCACTCACCCCACTTCGCTCCAGTGCCCCAAAATGGGGTTCCCGGTGAGTAGGGGGGGTGCTCCTGGTGCCCTGCCAAACCCCACGTTCCCAGGCTTCCTCCGCCTGGGATTTCTAGCGGGTCCCCACCTTCGCCGCGGTGGGAAGACCCAATTTCCACGGAGCCCGTTCCTCCGGTTGGAGGAACTCCGCCATTCACCGATGGCGCTGACCCGGAAGTCCTCCTATCTGTCTAATCCTCTTTTAAAGCCATCCAAGGTGGTGCCTGTTGTCTTTATCCATGGAGTTTTCTTGGCAGGGATACTGGAGTGGCTTGCCGGTTCCTGCTCCAAGTGGATCACGTTTGGTCAAAACTCTCCACCATGACCTGTCCATCTTGGGTGCCCTGCTCGGCATAGTTCATAGTTCAGCAGTGCTCCATGAAGGGGTAGTGATGGTTTTCCCAGTAGTGATGTATGGAAGTGAGAGCTGGACCATAAAGAAGGCTGATAGCTGAAGAATTGATGCTTTTGAATTCTGGTGCTGGAGGAGACTCTTGAGAGTCCCATGGACTGCAAGAAGATCAAACCTATCCATTCTTAAGGAAATCAGCCCTGAGGGCTCACAGGAAGGACAGATCCTGAAGCTGAGGCTCCAATACTTTGGCCACCTCATGAGAAGAGAAGACTCCCTGGAAAAGACCCTGATGTTGGGAAAGATGGAGGGCACAAGGAGAAGGGGACGACAGAGGACGAGTTGGTTGGATAGTGTTCTCAAAGCTACCAGCATGAGTTTGACCAAACTGCAGGAGGCAGTGGAAGACAGAAGTGCCTGGCATGCTCTGGTCCATGGGGTCACGAAGAGCTGGACATGACTAAACGACTAAACAACAACAAAAAAGGTGGTGCCTATCACTGCCTGCTGGGGGGGGGGGTGAGTTCCATTGTTTAATTATGTGGCAAATTCCTTTCTTTTATCTGTCCTGAATCTTCCAACATCCCAACCTTTTGGATGCCTGCAAATTCTAGTTTTAGGAGAGAGGGAGAAAAACTGATTCTCTATCCACTTTTATAAACTTATCTGTCCAATTGTATAAACTTCCATCCTGCCACCTCTGACTCACCTTCCCCCTGAACTATAAGGCCCCAAGCGCTGTCATCTTTCAACCACAGAAGAGCTGCTCTACCCCCTTGATGATTTTGGCTGCCCTTGCTTGAACCCTTTTTAACTCCACAAGATACTTTTTGAGGTGAGGTGGCCAGAAAGCTGGGCTCTGATATGGGCAGGTGCTTACATGTGCTTCCTCCAGAAGCAGCTCACTTTGTGGGGCCAAGATGCAACATCGCCTTTCCAGGAGTAGTGTTGCTACTGCCTACCAGAAGGTGGCATGGAGGTCACTGAAGTGCAGGTGTGTTGCTGGGAACAATAGATCGGCTTCACTGGTGTGTCTGCCCTAAGCTGACACCCCCAGAACCTTTCCCCTTCCTTACTCCCTCCTGGTAAGTGGCAGTGATGTCACTGCTGGGAAGCTTGAATTCCAGCTTTGCCTGATTTGGCAAAGTGCTTCTTCTTTCCCAGTCCAGCTGAGTTGTCTCATGTGTGGCTAGCTAACTACTTTGCTGGAAGCCCTGAAGCTCCTCCCAGGTTCTCCATCTCATCTGCTCCTGGGTATGAGATGACAATATCCAGATCTGAGAGCTTTTCAGCAGCAGTGCAAGGTTTTGTGGGGGTGTTCTACTCCCTGTGCTCCACCTCAGAGGGGACCCTATGTCCCAGGTCTTGGTAGGGCTGAATAGGGCCAGCCCAGGCTGCCTCTGCCTTCTCCTCCTCTGCGCCAAGCCCTGCCACTGATTGCTACCTCCCCCTTGCCTGCTGCTCCTGAGATGACTGGAGGTGGCCTGGAAAGCCCTGGTGTGCTGGAGGTGGAGGGGAAAAAAAGGAGGTGGAGAGGAGCAGGCAGCAGGGGTTATGCTGTGCTGGAGAAGATGATGGAGACAGTATGTGACAAGTGCAAGTGGTGGCAGGCTATGTGCTCCTTGGGGGGTGGGCAGATCTGCTGCCTCTCCCAGGTGTCCCCAGCCTGCCTGAGGCTGCTGTCTCACCCAGTCTCATAGGTGGGCCTGGCCCAGATACCATCAAGAGAGGTACATGGATGCATGACCTATCCTAGGTAAAGGTAAAGGGACCCCTGACCATTAGGTCCAGTCGTGGCCGACTCTGGGGTTGCGGCACTCATCTCGCTTTATTGGCCGAGGGAGCTGGTGCACAGCTTCCGGGTCATGTGGCTAGCATGACTAAGCTGCTTCTGGCGAACCAGAGCAGTGCACGGAAACACCGTTTACCTTCCCACTGGAGTGGTACCTATTTATCTACTTGCACTTTGACGTGCTTTTGAACTGCTAGGTTGGCAGGAGCAGGGACCGAGCAACGGGAGCTCACCCCGTTGCGGGGATTCTAACCGCTGACCTTCTGATCGGCAAGTCCTAGGCTCTGTGTTTTAACTCACAGTGCCACCCGCATCCCTCTCATGACTTATCCTATTGGTAAGTTAATAAGGACAAGTTTAAATGCTTTTAAGAAGAGGATGGGGGTATTGCTTCCCACTGAATATGCCAATACATTAACATTACGAACAAAATCTGGTTGCTAAAAATCAATGCCTGCAGATGAACAAGGAAGCCACCTGCGCAAGTGTCTCATTCTATTTATATATGCCAAAGCAGCATGCGCTAATTGGGGAAGAGAAAGTCTGCTCATCTCGATATAGATAGTTATAAAAGCATCAAATGGCACTTCATGCAAGCTCATGTTCTGGATCCGTTTTGGGATCAGGTTAATCACCAAAATAATATATATGCCACTGTGAATAACAAAGCAAGAGTATTTTTAATGTATGCAGCCAGACGTTTTGTCTTTTGTCTTCATCAGCTGTTCTGATAAACACACTTGATGGAATGGGTGCTGGTAGAGGGCAGTTGAGGTTTCCTTTTGCATGTGGGAGAAGAATGAGAGGACAAGCACTGGCTCTTACCACTTCATCACACTCCCATCAGCTAGCCTTGCTAAACTTATTCATTTTAAGAAGAGTCTCCTGAGGACCAGCCCATTTGGTCCAGCATCCTGTTCTTCCAGTGGCCACTAGATGCCTGTGGGAAACCTGCAAGCAGGACCAGAACACAAAAGCACTCTCCACTCCCCCAGTTTTCAGCAACTGGTATTCAGAAGCATCACAAAGCAAAATGCCCGTCTGGAAGACCCATTGACTGGTCCATGGTTATCCAATGATGTTCATGGCAGTCATAATTTGAACTCTGGTCTCCCGGTTCCTAGTACGACATGCTTATCCTTACACCACAATGACTTTCTTACTTCATGTAACTGGTAACAGGGGCCAGGCTGGGACATTTCACTGCTTGAGGCAAAACGAAGAATACAACCCACCTATTGACTCCTTCTCTTTGCCTTCTCCTCCTCCTCTTCTGTAGCCCTCACCCATGTTGAAGGCAGCAGGGGAGTAAAAGGAGATTGGAGAGGAGTGGGCAGCACTGGGCACTGGTGCTCCTTGGAGGCCACATCAGCTGCCTGAAGCAACCACCTCACCTCGCCTCATGGATGGGTCGGCCCTGGAGGACAACTATCTGCCACGGTGAACCTGCTCCACCATGTGATTTGGATCCCTGGTCATTCAGGCTTCTGAATTGTTTGGGGAACCTCTGTGAGGAGACATGACTCCTCGGTGCAAATGCCCAGCCTCAACTCAGGGTGGGCAGCAAGACTGGGTCATTGGGAGCACAATGGCCATGCAAGAAAAACATAGCTGCGATGTCTAGTAGCTGCTGATTGCCTTATCCTCCATGAATTTATCTAATCCTCTTGTAAAGCCATCCAAATTGGAAGCCATCATTGCCCCCTGTAGGAGCATGTTCCATAGTTTAACTAGGTGCTGTATGAATAAATATTTTCCTGAATCTTTAAATATGTAGCTTCATTGGATGCCCACAAGCTCTAGTGCTGGAGTTATTACTTATAATAATAATAATAAATAATATGGTATCATGTTGCCTTTCATGTGGCTTCCCATGTCTGTCTCATTGGCCACTGTGATAATAGGATGCTAGACTAGATGGATTTTTGGCCTTGATCCAGTAGGGATATTCTTCTGTTCTTAGGAGGGGGAGGTGACTGGTCTCTGTGGGATCTAGAATGTAATCCCAAATAGATCTAGACCAGTACTTTTGGATCCCAAACCTCATAATCCCTGATCTTTGGCTATGCTGGCTGGGGCTGATGGGAACTAGAACCTATCAAACCTGGGTGTGTGGGGGGAGGGGATCATGTTCCCCATCTCTGCACTAGACTATAAATCTGCCACCAAATTGCAGTTGATTCCCAGGTGAGGAAAGTTGTATTTCTTTACACACACACACACACACACGAATTGATGTTTGGAATTCTCATGCAAGTGCTGTTGTTCCAAATTTATGTCATTCCTAAACACATGTAAATATATTAAATTAAAGTGTAAATATACTTTCTCCTGAATTAAAACTTGCCAAATAGAAAGGCCTAATTAAAATATGCTAATCTAATCATTTCTAGCTGGAAACCAGCATGTTATTTTTTTTTAAGTTAGTGGCTATTTATCGATGCTCAGCACACATTCTTTCCTAACAACACAATAAATGGAGAGGTAACTCAGTCTGCTGGGATCAACCACTAGTAGAGTAGTGCTAATTGTTTGGATTGCAAAAAGGTGAGTGCACATTGGCGGGAGTGAACGAAGCCCTTTCATCTCTGGCATCTTCACTGACACCAATGAAAGCCCTCCAGACACTGCTTGTGAGTAAGAAGGCTGGTAGCTGGGGGCTGGTTGATGTTGGCAGGGCAGTTGGCCCCCACTAGCCAATGGGCAGGGATGATGGGAGTTGTGGTCTAACAACGTCCACGGCCCAGATTCCCAATTTAGGTCTGCATTATTTGTTTAAAATGTTGCCCGCCACAGTTTTACAACTATGGAAGGCTAGCTATTCTCAATTATCTTGACCCACCCCTAACCTAAAGTGTTGTTGTTGTTTTTTGTCTCAAGACAGACTATTTCTCCACCCAGGACTGTCTGCTCTGACACTGGTCGTGTTTCAGTTGATATATTATGCTGGAAACTGTGGATCTGGCAAGTTTGTCTTTAAAGGTGAGCCAAGTTGAATATCTGCCCCATCTCTACTCTCTAAGGATTGTGCTGATCGCTGAATGAGAGAGGGGTCTGGCATCTGATTACTCTATCCTCACCCATCCTGTGGTTTTGTGATAATACAGGCAGACAAAGGAAGGTTGGGGCTACATCGACCTCTAAAAAGATCTGCCTGTGTGCTTTCACAAGGTTTAGCAGGGGTCAGCAAACTTTTTCTGTCCCTCAGACCTTTTGGCGGGCTGGACTATATTTTGAAAAAAAAAATATTGAACGAATTCCTATGCCCCACAAATAACCCAGAGATGCATTTTAAATAAAAGCACACATTATACTCATGTAAAAACACGCTGATTCCTGGACTGTCCACCGGCCGGATTGAGAAGGTGATTGGGCCAGATCCAGCCCCTGGGCCTTAGTTTGCCTACCCATGGTTTAGACTATGTTGTGCTCATAATGAGCTTGCTGAGGATAAGAGGACACAAATCCTGCCCCTACCTTCACCATATCCCCAGAGCTGACTCCCTCTCTCATCCTCTTCCCTTTCGACATGTGGGTTTCCTACACATCTGATAAGACCGCCCAAGGGCTGCAAACTCAGAATTGGTTTTGAGCTGCTCTTTGATGCAGGCTATAGCATGGCAGCTGAAGCCAGTGGCAAGTATGAGTATCCCAGAGCACTGCCCGGAATCAATGGCATCCCTTCAGGCAAAACACTAATTCATAAATCCTGCTGCATGACTGTGTCATTCCACTAATGAATTCTCCAGCTAATGTAGGTGCGCTGAACAACAAAGATAAATACCGGTGTGTGAGCAGGCATAATATAGATTTATCGCCTCTGTGCTATACAAGGGCACACATGGCTTTGCACAGACGCAAGACCGC